AGTGCCCCGCACAAGCCAGGCAAGCGTGTTACCGCTTGAGCCACATCCCCAGCCCATCTATTGACTTTTAAATTTGGTTTATTGTTTCCTTCACTTCAAGGATTTCTGTTTGGTTTATTTTCAGAATCTCTGTCTCTTTCTTGAAGTAATCTTTTGTTACTTGAATTTGCTCTCTTATCTTTGTTAGAGCAATTAATTGTTGCCTGTATTTGCTCTCTTATATCATTACTTGCTTTGCAGATCATTTTAATTCTGTACATTCTGAACTCCTTCTCTGATATTTGATCTATTGTGCTGTCAATGGATTCTATTATTGTACCATCTTGGGTTGTTTGGGGCACTTTCTTCCCTGAATTTTTCATGTTGTCCATGTGTCATCCTCTCTAGCAGTGCAGATCCAAGGTATTATAGTTTCTACCCTATAATCTTGTACTGTCCCTGCAGGTAACCAATATCGCACCTTTAAGGGGGAGATCAATATTTACAGCACCCAATGCAAACAGTATTCACCTGTAAACCATTTATCTCTTATTTAGACAATTACAGTTTCGTTGCAATAAACAGAAATGATGTCTACTATTTATATATATAGTAGATTTCCGTAGGGGCCTACAGTTTCTAACGGTGGACAAAAAGAGTGTGTGGTGGGGTATAGGATGTGGGGTTTATGATGTAGGAGGTGAGAATATAGAGGTATTAGATCATAAGAAGAGTGAAAGAGGAATCAAGAGAAATAGGCTAGCAGGGATACCTCTAGTGTAACCAAGCCTGCAGGGACCTTCGTGATGGTCTTCCAGGTCCTCGTTGTTGTCTCTAGATGGATGCAAGCATGTTCCTAGTTGTTGGTAGTGCAGTGTCAAACCTATAGTTACATTGATGTTAGGCTTCCAGGGCCTAGCCGGTGTCCTATGCTGGAAGCTGCCCCAACTAAAGATGGTGATTGCGGCAGCAGAGGTGTTCCTAAGATGGAGGTGACCGCTTTCAGAGATGGGGCTGAGAGGGCAGGCTGTGTGATGGTGTTCAGAGATGCAGTGCTACAGAGGGTTGCTGCCTTCAGGTGCTGTCTGTTGCCCCAAGGTAGAGGCTAACACGTCGGGAATGGTATGGAGGTGGCTGCAGTGTCCCAAGATGGAAGTGGGCTGGGAGATCAATGCATTGGTAGATGGGGGCCGCAGTGCCGTCGTTTTATGGTCTTCTCCTCTGTGCCTACGTGGTCCAGTCTAGGGCTTCTTGTATACTTCCTTTCTGAGAGGGGTCTAATTAAGTTACCCAGGCCAGCTTGAATGTGAGATCCCATTTCTGCCTCAGCTTCCCACATCCCTGGAAACACAAGTGGGTGCCATCATACCTGATTTATCTTTCACTTTTATCTCCCAGTTCTTCCAGTTAAATTGATATTCTTTATTTGGTCTATCTTGTTTTTTTAAGTGGTTCTTGTTGGTTGCTCCTGAGATTACAGAATGAATGGTCTTCTCACTGAGAAGGTTATGTAAAGGATTTCTATCTTGGATTAGTGGGGGTCAGCGAATTAGTATTCATTTGTTATCTTCCAAAGTAAAGTCTTGCATTTTATATTTTAGTGGTACGAATCCTAGATTTTCACTTAAAAGAAATGTGTCTGAGGATCTTGAGAATGATACATACGATACGTATTGCAGAGTTAGCAGATTGTTGAAATGTTATACATAGTCAAAGCCTTTCAGAAAAGGTGGTGCATTCCCTGAATTGATCTATATATTTAGTGCATTTGAAATAAGATCTCATCAAGATTTTTTAAAAATAAATCTGCAATTGGTCCTAAAATTTATATGGAAAAGCAAAGGGACAAAAAACAATTTGGAAAGGACCCGAGTTGGAGGACTCACATTACCTTATTTTTTTTAATTGTTGATAGACCTTCATTTTATTTATTTATACGTGGTGCTGAGAATCAAACCAGTGCCTCATACATGCCAGGGAGGTGAACTATCACTCAGCCCCAGCCCCAGCCCCACATCATATTATTTTTAGACTTACTGTACAAATCACACATAGAGGCACACACCTGTAATTCCAGGAGACCAGCCTGGACAATTTAGTGAGACCCTATCTCAAAATAAAAAAGGCTGGGATGTAGCTCTGGGATAGAGCTCTTACCTAGCTAGCATAGGTGAGGTGCTGGGTTCAATCTCTAGTACAACCCCTGCTCCCTACCCCCAAAAGACTTACTACTCAAATAGTGTAATTAAGCAGTTGTCTTGGCAAAATGTATAGACTTAAAGATCGGTGGAAAAATAAGAGACTTAGAATAGCTGAAGCAATCCTTAGCAGGAAAAGTGAAGCAGGTGACATCACTATACCAGACCTTAAACTATACTACAGAGCAATAGTAACAAAAACTGCGTGGTATTGGTACCAAAACAGGCTTTTAGACCAATGGTACAGAATAGGGGACAAAGAGACGAATCCAGAAAACTACAATTATCTTATATTAGACAAAGGTGCCAAGAACATGCATTGTAGAAAAGATAGCCTCTTCAACAAATGGTGCTGGGAAAACTGGAAATCCGTATGCAACAAAATGAAATTAAACCCCTATCTCTCACCATGCACAAAACTCAACTCAAAATGGATCAAGGACTTAGGAATACAACCAGAGACCCTGTGTCTAATAGAAGAAAAAGTAGACCCTAATCTTCATCATGTGGGATTAGGCCCCAACTTCCTTAATAAGACTCCTGTGGCACAAGAATTAAAATCAAGAATCAATAAATGGGATGGACTCAAACTAAAAAGTTTCTTCTCAGCAAAAGAACCAATCTGTGAGGTGAAAAGAGAGTCTACATCTTGGGAGCAAATGTTCCCCTCACAGATCAGATAGAACACTAATCACTAGGGTATATTAAGAACTCAAAAAACTAGACACCAGTAAAACAAATAACCCAATCAATAAATGGGCCAAGGACCTGAAGAGACACTTCTCAGAAGATTATGTACAATCAATCAACAAACACATGAAAAACTGTTCACCATCACTAGCAATTAGAGATATGCAAATCAAAACCACTCTAAGATTTCATCTCATTCCAGTCAGAATGTCAGCTATTATGAAGACAAACAACAATAAGTGTTGGTGAGGATAGGGGGGAAAAAGTACACTCATATACTGCTGGTGGGCCTGCAAATTGGTGCAGCCAATATGGAAAGCATCATGGAGATTTCTTGGAAAATTGGGAATGGAACCACCATTTGACCCGGCTATGCCTCTCCTCGGTCTATACCCAAAGGACTTAAAAACAGCATACTACAGGGACACAGCCACCTTAATGTTTATAGCAGCACAATTCACAACAGCTAAACTGTGGAACCAACCTAGATGCTCTTCAATAGCTGAATGGATAAAAAAAATGTGGCATATATACACAATGGAATATTACTCAGCAATAAAAGAGAATAAAATCAAGGCATTTGCAGGTAAATGGATGGAGTTAAAGAAGATAATGCTAAGTGAAGTTAGCCAACCCCCCAAAACCAAATGCCGAATATTTTCTTTGATATAAGGAGGCTGATTCATAGTGATAAGGAGAGGGAGCATGAGAGGAATAGACGAACTCTAGATAGGGCACAGGGCTGGGAGGGGAAGGGAGGGGGCATGGGGTAATTAATGATGGTTGAATGTGATGATTATTAGTATTCAAAGTACATGTATGAAGACATGAATTGGTGTGAATATATATACAACCAGAGATATGAAAAGTTGTGCTCTATATATGTAATAAGAATTGTAATGCATTCCACTGTTACATATTTTTTAAAAAAATCAATGGAAAAGAATAAAATAGAAAGCCCAGCTGGGCATGTTGATGCATGTCTGTAATCCTAGTGGCTCAGCATAAAAGCCAGCCTCAGCAAGGGCGAGGCACTAAGCAACTCAGTGAGACCCTGTATCTACATATAATAAATAAATAAATAAATAGCCTAGAAATAGCAGCACATATAATATGCTTAATCGTTTTTTTTTTTTTTTACAATGTTGCATTTTTACCCTTGGAATTCAGTAGAATAAGGATTGTCTTTTCAACAAATGATGCTGAACAATTAAGTACCCATATATAAAAATACAAAACTAGACCCACATCTTATACTTCATATAAACTTTAACTCTGAAGGTATCAATAGGCCTTAATGTGAAACTTAAGTATGAAAGGTATGAAACTTTTAGGAGAAAAAAATTCCTGTGACCTTGGGTTAAGCAAATTTCTAAGATACCTATCAAAAGAACAATCCATGAAAGATAATATGATGAATTAGACTTACCAAAATTTAAGATTTTTGCTCTTTGAAGAGTATAATTAAAATCAAAGTATAAGTTAAAGACTAGGAAACAATATTTTACAAAACTCAAAGGATTGATATTCAGAATATATAAAGAATTATCAAGACTCACTAATAAAAACTTAAGCAATCCAGTTAAAAAATATGACCATTCTGTTTTCTGAAGAAGATAATAGAGTGGCAGACAAACACATGAAAAGATGCTCAATATCCTTAGTTAACTTACAAAGAAGAAAAATAAGGCTTTGTTTCTAAAAGTGATGTTAGAGACTGCTATGTAGCCCTTATGTTCAGGAGCAATGAATGGTACCCTAGATTTCTGAGTGGGAACTGTTTTAAGTGGTCCTGTGTCCTCAGAGCATTTGATTTGAACCGCAGATTATAACCCTGTGGTCATGATGGTTTTACTGAATTTAATGTTTGTTTTTGATCGTTAATGGAACAAAAAGGCTTGCTTTTTAGGCCTTTTCTGTACGGTTAGTACTTAATAATTTGAATAGGGGAAGAATGAATGATTCTATTCTGTTTCCAGGTTTCTTTATACTGAAGCATTAAATTTTGGACAGTTTTATGTACTTTAATCTAATGTTAAAGACTGACAAAAATTCCACTAGTAAAATAGTAATTGGGTCTGTTTTTCATTTTTCTGTTTGTTAGTGGGTAATTATTCTTTGTAATTGTTGTAGGTACTCCATCTTCTAAACCAACAGTGTTAGCCAATGGTGACCATGGAATAGAAGGGAATGACACTACAGGTAAGTGATTCCAAGGATTCTCCAAATGTGTAAGTGAAATATTCACAGTGTACACCTTGGTAAACTTTTTTGAGGAGAATTGTTAGTGGAACATATTTTTCTGAGGGTATCATTTTTGTTGGGCATCAGAAGATCTTCCATATAAAATGTCTAACAATGGAAAGAGAAGAATGAATTTCCTTTGATATTCTTTGAATATTTGTTGGAACTGTACCACTTAAGAATTGGATTCATCTTGCTGGGTGTGGTAGTGCATGCCTGTAATCCCAGCAACTTGGGAGGCTTAGATCGGAGGATTACAAGTAAGATCAGCCTTAGCAACTTAGCAAGGCCCTAAATTACTTAGTGAGTCCCTGTCTCAAAATAAAAAATAAAAAGGACAGGGGATGTGGCTCAGTGGTTAAGTGCCTCTGTGTTCAATTCCCATTATGAAAAAAAGAAAGAAAGAAAGAATTGGATCCATCTTAAAAATACTCTTTCATCATCAGTTTATGTTATATGGAAAGCTTTTGGCCTGTACAACTAAGTCAGGTCTCTTCCCTACACTTACTTTAAAATTTCCAAAACACAGTATTAGGAACCCTGTGAGCGGTAAATTACAAGTGTTTTCTTTGTCTTTTGCCCTGTTTTTTTCTTTGTCTTTCCCTTAACTGTTGCTTTTGAAATTTACTCCTAATTTTAACTCCTAGCCTACTGCTGGGGCTTTGATATTCTTTCAGCTAGCACCAACCACATTCCTATGGGTTTTCACTTCATAACCAACATTAACCTGGAGCCCCTCAGTATAGTAAAGGAAAATTCTCAAACTCTAGCAGAAGTCTATCCCTGAGGAGATATAGAATGTAAGTCTTTTCTTAGGAGCCTACATGAGAGTTAATGTATTATATTTTTATAAATAACTATACTTAATTTGCAGTTATGATGAGGCTGATACTGTTGGCCTATGTGATTTGACTTCCAGTGCTCAAGCACATTGCTCTTACACATAGCAGTGTGTGCTCTTAACTCTGAGGTACAAAATTTGATTCACATTAATGCAGTGGAGTCAAGCACTAGCCATTTATTTTATTTGTTTTGTTTTTCTTTTGGGATGACTGCCTCAGCCTTCTTTTAGCAATAGTAGTTATTCCAGGATTTACTTGTTATTTTATGACCTTAAGAATGTATACACAGAGTATACATACATACACATTACTCAGAGTTATCGATGACTAGGTCCTATTTGTTGTGAATGTTGATTTTACCCAGTGACATTAACATTCTCACTAGCACCTCATAAATTACTGTTTATTTTACAAACTAGAAACAATCAGAAGTGCCATTTTACCTTACTGACTTTTTTTGTATTTGAACTGACTTTTTTTGTATTTTTTTTGATAATTGTAGTCATATGCAATATTGAATATTTCTGTATCTGCTTTGAAAGCAGAGTTATCTATGTGATTTTATTTTAAGAAAGTATTTATGCAAATATATAACACCCGTGATTAATGAAGAAGCTTGAATATGAACTTTTAAAAAATGAGTAAATTCAGCTTTCTTTAACCAGGAGACAGTGCCAGGGGAAGATAGGCTGGAGGGGATCAGTTTGACTAGCCAGTTGGAAAGAGTGGATGTCATTTTCACCCGAAAAGAAACAATTATCAAAACTAGGCTGGGTTTCTTCCAGCAGGATGTCAAATCTGACCAGAGGAGACTCAGTCTCTTTTACCCCACTACACTATTAAGACTGAGCAGTAGTCTCCCTACTGCTCAGTCTTAATAGTGTAGGGAGGGTAAAAAACCTAGCAGCTTGACCCTTACCATTTCAACTTTTAGTTCCCTGACTACAAAAACAAAGTAATCTGTTAAATGAACTGCCCAGTGGCATTGTGAGAGCAGTTCTTTCAGCTCTTGGCGCTCTCTCCACCCTTAAGTAGATTTGGGTTGTTTGGGTTCTGAATTTTATTTTGTGACTGTATTAAAGCAGGTATTTTACTGAAAATATGCATGTTTGACTGGGGAGGGATAAATAAGGAGGGGTGAATAGTGCATGCTTTGGGAGCATGTTGTGACTTGATACTAATTTTGCCAATCACTAATTAGAGCACCTAGCTCAGTGCCATTTTGAAAATTCCTATTTGATTTCCCTCAGAATATTATTTGTAGTTCTGAGAGCACACCAGCTCTACTAATAATATAAAGAGGTTATGAGCATCTTGCTATGTTGAACTTGCTGTTTACTAATGATCTGTGCTTTTCCATCCTTTTCCTTCCCCCTCCTACTTCTTCCTCCCTTTCTATTTTTCTCCTCCTAGAAGCCTAGAGTGTCTGTCAACACTGGGGCTGCTGCAACACCAGACCAGTGATCTTTCCTAAGCACCGTTATACTTCTAAAACCTTCAGCATATTGCAGCTTTGCTTTTCCTTCCTGGACACCATGTAGAAGAATCTGAGGGTAGTTCTCCGGGTCCTATTTCTGCTGATGCCTGAGTAAACCATCTGCTTCTTGTGCTCTGCAGGGCTTGATGGATCCTCCTTTCCCTTTGTGAGCACAATGTGTATGATGAATTTTTTTAATTTTAGTATTTTTTTATGAAGGTCATCTAAGGTTTTATTTATTGTTTTTTTTTTAAATTCATTTTATCATTTAACTCAATCTCATATTTTTCTTTCGTTTAAACATTTTTAGTTGGCCTTTCATATGGTTTTTGAATATATTCAATGTGAATCAGAATATTATAACACCAAAAGAGAACATGTGCTTTCATAAAGGGGTTGAGGTCACCAGTACTGCAGTGAATTTCCCTTTCCTGTCCCTGCTTTTTCCCTCTGTGAGCTTGCTTTTAATGAAGGGTCCTCTTTCAGGCTACCTGTTTCTCTTCACCTTCACAAAATCTTAGTAGTGATAGCTATTTTAATTTAAGGTTTTCTAGCTTAGAGTAGCTCTGATTAAACTTTGCAAAGTATTTCTCCAAACTAAATCATTCTTTGTTATTTGCAAGTTGGGCCAACTGTTTTTTTAATTATGAAATTATTATCTACTGGTCTAGCATTAGATTCTTCTGGAAATTTGACACTATTGTTGTATATTTAATTTTTTATAGTCAAGATTACTTTTAGAACATGATCATGAACTATCAAACTAGGAATAAAGAAGTTAAAGAAAATAGAACTAATTTACAGTTTTTTGGAATCCTGTATTGTTAGAAAACCAGGATGTTGATAAGGATAAAAATGGCTGCTTCTGTGACAACACCAGAATGAAAGTAAGCTGCAATCAGAATAACCATTTAAGAACTAAAACCAATTTAGCAGGTTTCTTATGGAGAGAGAGAGAGAGAGAGTGTGTGTGTGTGTGTGTGTGGTTTTTGAAAGTATTGCTGGGCCCATGCATGCTAGTCCAGTGCTGTACTACTGAATTACTCCCTCAGTCCCCAGTTTTTTATTGTGTTTTGTTTTGAGACAGTGTCTTGGTATATTGTCTAGTCTGGTCTAAATTGGACTCAAGCAATCCTCCCACCTACTGAGTAGCTGGGATTAGAGGCGTGCATCCTTGTGCCTGGTTTCTAAATAAATTATCATCTGGTTGGATTCATATGGTTAAGGATTAGTATTTCCTTGAATTCAGAAGTACTAATCCCCTCAGCCCCTGTACTGGGGATTGGACCCAGGTTTACTCTGATATTAAACTAGACCCCTATCCCTTTTTCTTTTGAGATAGTCTCATGGATTGCCAAAGCTAGCCTTGATTTTTGTAGTCGTCTTGCCGCAGCCTCTCAAGACAGGATTGTAGGCATGCGACAATGTGCCTGGCCTTGGAAGTACCTTTTGTATGCAGCATCCAAGCAGGATTGGTGGATCACACATATACACCTGGGTGTAAAATCCTTTACCATGAACAGTAACATTTACATTTATTCAGTCTGAAGATTTTCTCAGTGGCACTTTCTTATTTTCATTTCTAATTTTTGGAAACTGATAAGTAAAAAAAACTAGAACCCTTTAGGATAAATACTATGGAAACCTTGCAAGAGCAATCTTTGATGGGATTTTTAGAAATGGACTTTAAATTATGGACCATGTTTTGAAATCATAGAGTAGTTCTGGTTTGAGATCTAGAATGGTGCAGTACCCTTTTTAGTGTCCTCTTATTGATAACGTAGGTATCAATAAAAGAAATAATTTTGAGGAATATAATAGTTTTAAATCCTCTGATAGAAAACTACATTTGAGATGGAAGACTATAGAGAATATCATGAAAGGTCAAAGAAGTCCCTGCAGTGACTTCTGGAAGCATTCCATTCCATTTCTTTTTTTCCAGACAGGGTCTAATTAATTTGCCCAAGCTGGCCTTGAACTTTTGATCCTTCTGCCTCAGCCTCCCAAGTAGCTGGGAGTACAGGCATGTGCCATCATGCCTGGCAAACATTCTGTCTTCTACAGGAGAGGTGACAAGGTCTGGTATTTCTGCCAAGAATCTTTCCATAGGTTCTAGACAGTGGATAATTGAGGGAGGCATATAAGACTTTGGGCTTATCTTCTTAGTAGTTGATAAAATATGAAAACCCTTACTGTAAGAAAGCACACTATCCAAACATAATTCTTTCCCATTTTTTTAATAGGTTGTTTTTTTGAGGGGTTTGGCCAACTACTTGGAAATCATGTTTTGTTGCTTTTAACCAATCTTTGTAGCTTGTCTAAGGACTAGGTATGTAGAAAAACCTGGGTGTAGATTTCTGTTGCACACTCATACTTCATGACTGACATTGATTTATTTCACTTTTCTTTCCATTTGATCATGTTTATTTTTGTTTGAAATTTTAAAATCTTTTCTTTTATGAATTTCTGGGTTTATTGAATTTTTCTACTAAAACCTGGTTAAATTTGGTAGACTTTGTTCTGTTTCATTTGGATGTTTAATTTGGAAAGAAATAATGTAATGGTTGAAGTACAACTTCATATGAAGTAGTTAGTCCCATTTTTTTTAAATGCTGTATTGCTATGATATGCCATATTGC